CTGCGGACACCTGTCCACTCGGCCTGCACGACATCCTGAGCGCTGCCATCCGAGAGTCCTGAGTGTGCAGCGCAGTGTGCACATGCCAGCGTGCACAGGGAGCTGCGGCGGGCAGGACCCTGGGATGGGGAGCGGGGCTCTACCTGAGGTGGACTCTCTCAGCCCCCAGGGACTAGGCGGGCTGCAAATGCTGCAGCTACCTGCAGGCCAACCTCTTGTTTACCCACTGACGCAGGCTCACTGAGCACCTTCTGCGTGCCAGGCCCGTGGGAAGCTCTGAGGACGCTGAAGTCAACGCTGAGCACAGATGTTCTCTGGCAGTTTGCAGTGTGCGTTTGGGGGAGGGGCATGCCCAGAGTCAGGAGAGGCTTCCTCATTGCAGGTGCTGGCAAGGAGAAGGCTAGGGGTATGCAGGAGGGAGAGGGGAAGAGGTCTGGGAAGCCTTCGTGGAGGAGGCAACTTCAGGCCAAGGGAGGGTGAGGAAGAGGCTGGAGAGCAGGAAGTGCAGGGTGGGAGGTCAGGGCGGGGGGCTGGTGGGGGGAAGACACCGTGGGGTTGGCCGGTGACTCGGGAAGATTTAAGCAAGACGCATTTAGGTTATGCTTCCCTGGGTCCAGGGAAATATAGAGGCCAGACAGTAAGTGATGGTCTTGCATGAGTTCTGGTCCAGCCAGCAGGTACAGTTTCCCTGGTGGGAAGGCCTCCCTGACCCTCTCTTCAGGACTGGAGGTCAGATAGCACATGCTGAGGGATTCTGGGCCAGCCTGTCCCTCTGTTTTTGCTGACCCAGAGCTCGCTCTGCAGAAGCTTCCCTTTCTGTCCAGTAGTCTGGCCATTCTAGTGGCTTTTGCCCAACTCCTCCCACACCCAGCCCTGCAGCTCTGGACCTGTCATGTGGTCCTAGGCTTGGCCTCGAGCTCAGCTCCATGAGCTCACTTAAGTCATCAACTGTTATGCTGGGGATGCAGCTCATGGCCTATGTGCTAGTGTTCACTCAGGCCTCGCTGCTCCTAAATCCATGTGACAGCACTTTGGGGGGAAGATTTTTCTTTCTTCCTTTTATTTTTTTTGAGACAGTCTCACTATGTCACCCTAAGTAGAGTGCTGTAGTGTCATAGCTCACAGCGACTTCAGATTCTTGGGCTTAAGCAATTCTCTTGTCTCAGCCTCTCCAGTAGCTGGGACTACAGGTACCCACCACAATGCCCAGTTATGTTTTGGTTGCAGTTGTCAGTTGTGGTTTAGCAGGCCCAGGCTGGGCTCAAACCTGCCAGCCTCGGTGTATGGGGCTAGCACTCTACTCACTTAGCTATGAGTGCTGAGCCAGGAATATTTTTCATATGCAATATTATATATATATATATGTACACACACACATATATATATAGAGAGAGAGAGAGGGAGCACGAGCACACACATATATATGCTTTGAAAAACTAAGGTATAATTTACATGCAATAGAATTCTCCCTTTTAGGTGTTGTTAACTGACAAAGATAACGAGGTTTATAATTTGGAAAAGGAGATCTTTATTTCTCATAAAGGTTTTTGGCCCACAGTAGCCATTTCAACAGGTGGGAAACAGGACTTCCGGCCACAAGCCAGGAACAGGTGCTTCAAGGGACAAAGGGAACAAGATTTTATACTGAGCAGGATAGCTAAATATACATATTTTACAAGCTATAGATGGGAGTCATGGATATTTATGAAGGAGAAAGATGCCTCTGTGCAGTGGGCTTTTTGTCCTTGGATGGGTCCATGTGAAAAATGGCCATTCTCAGCTGGGCATGGCTCACGTCTGTAATCCTAGCACTCTGAGAAGCCAACATTAAAAAATAGAAAAAAAAGAAAAAGAAAAAGTAGTCAGAGATTGTTTGGGTGCCTATAGTCCCAGCAACTTTGGAGGCTGAGGCAAAAGGATTGCCTAGTCCAAGAGTTTGAGGTTGCTGTGAGCTATGACAGTACAGCACTCTACCCAGGGCAACAGAGTGAGACTCTGTCTCAAAAAAAAAAAAAAAAGAGAAGAAGAAAAGGAAAAAAAAGGCCATCCTCTATGTCACAAAGATGAAACAAGGACTTGAAAACCTTCTTTGCACATGTTCCATGACTATAAATACCACCTTATGTTTGGTGGTGTTTTACCAGGAAAGAATGCTGGTCTGGCTCTTAGCAAGGGAGGGGTTAAATGATATGTGTTCGACCTCCCATCCTGTCGTGGCTGGGGAGGTCCTAAAGTTTATCTGGGGTCCCTTGACTGAGAGGGGTCTGTTCAGCCAGTGGGGGGTTAGGAGTTTAGTTTTAGTTTATGGTATACTGTCAGGGCAAATCGCCACAACATAGGACAGCTGCATCACCCTGGCAACCGAACCTCCCGCCCCTGGTAACCTCTGAGCAGGTGTCTATCCCTGGGGTCTTGCTTATTCTTGAATGTCACATAAAAGGAGTTACAGATTTGGACTTTTCAGACTGGCTCCTTTCAGGCAGCACAGTGGTCTGAGCCTCGGCTGTGCTGCTCAGTCAGTGACTTGCTCCTCTCTGTTCCCAAGTGATGTTCCAGGGCATGATGGGCTGCAGTTTGCTGGTCCACCTACCCAGGGAGGGCGTTTGGTTGTTTCTGGTTTTCAGTGATTGTGAATGACGCCTCCACTGCTGTCCTGTTCAGCTTTGGTGTATACACTAGGAGCGCCACTGCTGAGCCATATGGTGAGTGTATGTCTCACTCTATGAGAAGCTGCCAGTGTGCTGTCCAGAGAGCTGCACCAGCTCATTCTGCTCCTTCCTGAGACCTCCAGCTGCTCCTCACCCATGCTAGCCCCTGGGGTCGACAGTGTTTGTTTTTACAACTGCAGGCATTCTCATAGGTGTAGTAGCTTGTCTGAAACAGTCTCAACTCAGACCTCCCTAGGGACTATTGATGCTGGGAGCTCTGTGTTTATTTTCCATCCAGATGTCTTCTTTGGTGAAATGTCTTTTTAAATCTTTTGGCTTTCTTTCTTTCTTTCTTTTTTTTTGTTATTGAGTCTTTGGGATTTTTCAAACCTTTTGAACCTCATTTCATCTGTTGACGCTGGGTGACCTTGGCGGCAGGGGCCTGGCTAAGGGCTGGTACTTCCTGAAGCTGGGTAGAGGCAGCCAGCAGATGCTCTCCGTTCCTCCCCCTCGCTCCCTGCTGGGTGCTGAAAGTCTTTCTCTGACCCAGGTCCTCCTTCCACTTTGGAGGACTGGTGGTGCTGTCCTCTCTGGGGGGTGTGCCCTGAGCCCACATGCTGCACCTTATCCGGTATCCCTAGGTGCTCTGTGTGGACAGCGAGGTCACCTGGAGAGACCTTCCCAGGCTCCAGACTCCACTGGCCCATGGCGCCTCCCGGCGTCACTCCTGCCTGTACACTTAACCTGATAAGGCAGCTTCCAATACCATAATCCTCCCTAAGTGCCAGCCCAGCCCCACCCTGTCCCAAATGTGCTTGCTAGAGGCCCGACCGGTGGCTGTGTTGGGGGCAGTTTTGAACGAGGGCTGCCCGAGCCTCTCTCACACCTGTACCAACACAGGCTCTGCCTCTGGACCAGGTCCAGAGCCTTGGCCAGAGGTAAGCCCACTGCTGTGTTGGAGATGAGAGATGACTAGATCCTGGGTGGGGGACCCCCTTGTCAGAGCAGCAACCCAGCTGGCCAGGCTGGAGGGTGGACACCTGGGTGAGGGACCCCTTTTGCTAGAGCAGCAACCCAAGTGCCTTGGCTAGGCTAGAGAGTGGACAGAGGTGCTTGGGATGTGAGTCCTGGCAAACCATGGCAACACCTGGCCTTTGCTGGGTGGCTGGCCATGCCAGACCCTATGACTGGCGACATGCCTGGCAGGGCTGTGGGACAAATCCTTAGCCTGTGTGGGTCAGGTGAGAGCCTGGCTGTCTGGAGCCCTCCAGGAAATGACCTCTGGAGCCAGTGGAAACACTGCAGTGATTGTGCCAAACAATGGACAAGGGACTGGCGCTCCCTAGCCTCCTTAGTGGTGGAGCCCAGGTGCTGGGCTGGGTTATAAAGCTGGGCTGGCTGGGGCTGCAGGACTCTGGGCACCGGGGGCTGGAGGGCAGAGTGGAGATGAAGTCGCTCTTGCTGAGCCTGGTCCCAGCCTTGCTCTGGGTGTCCGTAGCCCAGGCTGAGGTCTTGCTGCAGCCTAACTTTGATGCCAGAAAGGTACCAGGGGCCTCTGTGCTGGCCTGCAGGGTGGGGCTGAGCCCTAGCTGGAAGCAGCAGAGCAGGACATGACAATAGAAGCAGTCCCTTTCCTGGAGCGGGCCAGCTGTGGGCCTGCTTTCTGCTTAACCATAAAACAACCCTGTGTGGGGGGCTGATTTCTAGGCCCATGTCACAGTTGGGAGAACTGAGGTTCCCGGCAGAGCTGTGACGTTCCCACCTGGATTGCTGCTCTGAGACCCTAGGCTCTGTGTCTCCAGACAGGGTCTGTCCTCTGGGCCCTCTGGCTTGTCCCCCTGGATCCCTGGGTCAGAGACCCCACTGCTGGCTGCCCTGGCCTGCCAGTCACTGAGCTGCCTGGCAGTTCTCAGGCCTATGGTATGTGGTCTCCATGGTGTCCGACTGCAAAGTCTTCCTGGGCAAGAAGGACCACCTGCTGATGTCCACCAGGGCCATCAAGGCCACTGCGGGGGGTGACCTCAGTGTCCACATGGAGTTCCCTGGGTGAGTTGCCTGGGCCGGCTGGGGCTGGACTGGGCATAGGAGGGGGTCTCTGGGCACAAGAATGACATGGCCACACACCCCCCAGGGCAGACAGCTGTAACCAGGTGGACGCCGAGTACGTGAAGGTGGGCTCCGAGGGCCACTTCAGAGTCCCAGGTAGGTCCTGCCGAACCTGCCTTTGGGGGCCCTGGACCCTGATTGTCTAGGGGTGACCATCGCCATCTGCAGTCCCTCTATGGCCCACCTCTCCCTCTGCACCCTGGGGCCTGGCTCACAGTCTCCCTGCAGTGGGGGCAAGGGTGGGGTCAGGGCCTGGGCTCTGTCCAGTTCACGGTGGTCATCTCCTCTGCAGCCTTGGGCTACCTAGATGTGCGTGTGGTGGACACAGACTACAGCTCCTTCGCCTTGGTCTACATCTACAAGGAGCTGGAGGGGGCCCTCAGCACCATGGTGCAGCTCTACAGTGAGGCCTCTGTGCCCCCCACTCTGGCCCAGTCTCCCCTGACCCTGACCCCTCTTTTGGCCCTTCCTCCATACCATCTTCTGTCCTCTTCCCACCTGCTAGACCCCTTGGGCCCCTCCCAGCTTTTGGGTAGTGCTCCATCCCGCCTGTTTTGGATATGCCAATCCTCTCCCCTAACCCGATCTCCTCCTTTCCAAGGCTGGGCCAGATAGGGGCTGGAGTTAAACTTCATAGTACTTTGGACTGGAAGGAAGCTGGCAAGGGGGTGGTTCCTAGGGCCAGATTCTGGCCTTCTGGGAGTGGTGACCCACTCAGCCCTGCTTGGTCTTGCTGGCTAAGTCCTTGAACTAGGCTCTACTTTAATTTCTGGGAGCCTCCAAGGTGAAGAGGGCACAGTGGGGCTGGAGGCTGGCCTTTAGATGTTTAGGGGGCTGGGGCCCAGGCTCTAGGGGGCCCTGTGTGTGTGAATTGTGTGACATTGGTCAGGTAGGGCTCCTGTGCAGTGTACATAGAGGTCTTCTGTTGGCCTCAGGGAAGGGGAATGAGGCCAGAGACTCCTCCCTCTCCCTCTTTGCCCCTGTCATAGTCCCTGTGACCTCCTGGGTTCACAGTGACTCCTGCCCTGCCTCAGGCAGGAGCCCAGATGCGAGTCCCCAAGCAGTGAAGGCCTTGCAGGACTTCTACCCAACGGTGGGGCTCCCTGATGATATGATGGTCATGCTGCCCAAATCAGGTACCCTGGCCATGCCCCAGTCACCAAGCCTCACCCCAGACAGGAGACGGGGGGCAGCAGGGGTCTTCTTTTCTAGTGCTGAAGGTTGGGAGACCCTTCAGCCCCTCTAACTCACAGCCCCCAACACAGACTAAGGGAGAGGTGTGGGTGGCACAGGCAGGACAATTCAGGGCAGCCCTGGCCAGCTTGGCATCTCACTGATATCTTCCTTTCCACAGATATGTGCTTCCCCAAGGACAAGGAGGCACCCTGACGGCCCTCCCCAGGTGGGGCAAGGCGGCCAGCCCACACACCCCCTTCCTCCAGGCCCTGCAGAGTTGTCTGCTCTCCTTCCCTGCAGCTCACGTAGCACGTGTGGCCCCCACCCCATCTGTGGGGGACTTCCAAGCCTCAGCTGGAACATCTCCTCTCCTGGGAAAGCCCCCCTAACTTCTTGGGGCTGCCACAACAAAGTACCACATATTAGGTGGCTTAGAACAACAGGAATGTGTTCCCTCCCAGTTCTGGGGGCCAGAAGTCTAAAGTACAGGTGTCCACAGGGCAGGTCTCCTCTGCCGCTCTGAGGGACAGTGGCCCCAGACCCCTCCAGCCTCTGGGTGTGGCACAGTCCTGGCTTTTCTTGGCTTATCGAGGCATCACCCTGATCTCTGCCTCTGTTGTCACATGACCACCTTCCCTCTGTGTGTCTGAGTCCAAATTTCCCTCATGTTGTAAGGGCATCAGTCTTTGGATTTAGGGGTCATGCTAAATCCAAGAACATCCCATCTCCAGATCCTTAACCAATGGTATCTGCAAAAACCTTATTTTCAAATAAGGTCCTATTTGGAGGTTCCAGGTGGATGTGAAGTTTGGGGGCTCTCTTTCTATACTCTGTCCCCAGAGCCCCTTACTCACCTCCCAGGGCATGGGTCCCACTTTGGAATTGCCTGGATCCTTGTTCTCTCCCCCAGGACCCATGAGGCCAGACCCACATAGGTTCTGGGGAGCACTTTCCTAAACCAGATACCATAAAAACATTGGGTGGCTCACCCAGGCCCATTGCCAAGAAATAGAGAACCCATGTTAAACCGTGGAGGTCAGGAGAGAGGCCCCTGGCTGTCCTTGGTGGTAGGCATTTCTTGGATTTTGTAGCCTGCTTTTCCCATCTTGGCATCAGTATAGCCTGTGTCTTTGTTCTTTTCTAAGAGCTTTGGATCAGTGCCCCATGTGCTTCTCTCTTGGCTATTTGCTGCTGTGCTCAGGGACATTTGGGCTATTGAGTTTTCTCATCACACATGTTTGGGAAACATGGAGGGGTCGATGCCAAATCACCCTCCGAAGGGTCTACTAGCAGAACATGCAAATCCCATCTTCTGCCTCTCCCCTTTCCCCACCATTTTCTCAGTGACCAGGCAGCTGTAGATTTGATTTTGTTGTCATTTAATGGCCATTCTGGGTCTTTCTTGCCACACCCACTCTCTTCACCAAGACTAGAGCCTGGTGCTCTTTGCCACCAAGTGAGCAAGGGGCCTCCCGTAGGAGCACAGAGCCTGGCAGGTGTGGGGGGCAGTGGTGGATGGGTATGTCCAGCTCTCTCTGCCCTTGGAGGGCAGCAAGAGCATTTGCTGGTGAGAGAGTGGGTGGAATACCCATGCCTTTCTCACACAGGTGTGTTGGAGCTGGAGCTGCCAGCCTCGCCACCCCAGGAGTCATATCTATTGCCTTGGAGGTCCACCATGGCTGCCTCCTGCACCTACCTACTAGCCCTGCCTCCATGGATCCCCTTCCTTCTTCTCAATAAACAGATTCTGCAACCTGACTACTCCTTGCATCTTTGGGGACTCCCTCAGGGAGGGTGCAGTGGCCCTATCCTGACCCTAGCACTCCTGGAGAGACAGAGGCAGAGAGGTGGGTTGAAGGGAACACCTGTAAGGAGCCTGCACCCAAGCTCAACACATATTGGGGCTGCACCCACAGGGAGAGCTGAGCACTCTGTACTGGCTCACACAAGCTCACTGCAAAGATGGGCCCTGCCCTGGGTCTCCACTGGGCACAGGCCTTGGGTGCAAGAGGCCAGGGAGTCCAGCCTATGTGGGTTTTGCCTCTCCCAATGGTGTGATATTGGGCGCTACTTTTAAACCACAGGGGTGGGTCATAGTCTGGCCAGCGGACTCCAGGCCCCTGCCCTCTGGCTCAGAGCCCCCCAGTAGACAACCTGGATGCACACAGCAAACCCACTGAGCTCTTCATTCCTTTTTTTTTTTTTTTAAGAGACAGAGTCTCACTTTGTCACCCTCGTAGAGTGCCATGGCGTCACAGCTCACAGTGACCTCCAGCTCTTGGACTTAGGTGATTCTGTTGCCTCAGTCTCCCGAGTAGCTGGGACTACAGGCGCCCGCCATAATGCCTGGCTATTTTTTTGTTGCAGTTTGGCCGGGGCTGAGTTTGAACCCACCACCCTCTGAATATGGGGCTGGCGCCCTACTCACTGAGCCATAGGCACCACCCTGAGCTCTTCATTTCTATGACCAAGAAATTGAGGTATAGCCCAGATGCGGTGGCTCACATTTGAGCTCAGGAATTCCAGGGCATCCTGAGCAAGAGTGAAACCCCCATCTCTATTAAAAATAGAAAAACTATCTGTGCATTGTGGCAGATACCTGTAGTCTTGGTTACTTGGGAGGCTGAGGGAGGAAGACTGTTTGAACCTAGGAGTTTGAGGTTGCTGTGAGCTGTGATGATGCTAGGCATTCTACCTTAGGCAATAGAGTGAGACCTGTCTGAAAAAAAAAAAAAAAAAAAAAGATGCTGAGGCATATGGAGTGGATTTACCAAGCTTACACAGCCAGCAAGTGACCAGGCTGGGGCTCAAACAGGCTGTCAGTCTCCAGGGCCTGGACTGGAGTACAGGAAGGTCTTCCTCAGGGCCCACCCCACCTGCTGGGAGCTCGGAGTGCTTCTGCACCTGGCACACACTTTGAAATGCAGGCGTGTGCTAGAACAGGAAGGTGCCCGAGGTTCTGGTCTGTTGCTCATGGGTGCTGCAGCCCACACAGGGCAGGAGCTGGAAGCAATTGTCCCTGTGGGCATCAGCCCTCAGTCCTGCCTGGGGTGGATATTGGGGGCCTCCTCCTTTCCCTCCCACCTGGACAGTCTGGGGCTGCCTTGGGCTCTGCTGCTTAGTTTCTCCTGCCCTTTGGGTGGTCCCTCTGGAAGTACATGGTCATGGATTGTCCCCACACAAAGCCATGGCCAAGCTGGATCCAAGCTGGCCTGTGGCCACCTGGGAAATGAATTTTGGTAACTGGGAACTATTGTTTAGCTGACCAGATCTGGAGACATTCCAGGTGGGCTTTTCTAGCTCCAGGGGCAGGAAGGCTGTCCCTTGGCACCAGGTTGGGGATACTGGCCCGGAAGGAGCTGCCTCAAGCACCCTCAGATACCTGTTGGCCATGTAACACTTGCCCCTCAGCTGTGGAGCCCAGGGTGACGGTGGCCCCCTGTGATGCCAGCGCCAGAGCCTGTCACATCCCCCGCCACACTGCAGGAGGGCTTCCCAACAGGGTACTCTGCTACCAGGCTTGGCCTTTTCCCTCTTTATTTGAAGGGCATGGGGCGGGGGGTGAAAATGGGAGATAGAAGGTAGATTTTGTTTATTTTTAGCTCATTTCCAGAGAGGAGAAAGTTTTTGGTTTTTATTTCTTACTTTTATTTATTTATTTATTTTGAGACAGAGTCACACTTGGTTGCCCTTGTTAGTAGTGTGCCATAACGTCATAGCTCACAGCAATCTCAAACTCTTGGGCTCAAGCAATCTTCTTGCCTTAGACTTCTGAGTGGTTGGGACTACAGGTACCCACCACAACGCCCAGCAAGTTTTAGAGATGGGGTCTTCCTCTTGCTCAGGATGGTCTCAAACTCCTGAGCTCAAGTAATCCTCCTGACTCAGCTCCCTGAGTGCTAGGATTATAGGTGTGATTATGCACCTGGCCTTGTTTTTTGTTTTTTAAATATAAATCACAAATGAAGTTGCTTTTGAAAATAAAAATTCTTACTCTTAAAACAAAGTCATCTAGGCTCAGAGCCCATAGCTCAGTGGTTAGGGCGCTGGCCACATACACCAGGGTTGATAGGTACAAACCCGGCCCAGATCTGCTAAACAACAATGACAACTATGACAAAAAATAGCTGGACATTGTGGCGGGCGCCTGTAATCCCTGCTACTTGGAAGGCTGAGGCAAGAGAATCACTTAAGCCCAAGAATTTGAGGTTGCTGTGAGCTGTGATGCCACGGCACTCTAGGGAAGGCAACATAGTGAGACTCTGTCTCAAAAAAAGAAGTCATCTCTGTAGCCTGAGAGATGCTGGACACCAGGGTCAAAGCCTGGACAGGGCTGGTCTTGGGGTGCAGGGAGGTCTGGTGAGATGTGCTACCAGTACGTCATTCATAGCCGTGTTTATTTAATGTGTGTGGTCACCATTATAGATGGGGAAACTGAGGTGGAGCAGCTGTCCTGGATCACGTGATTGGAGGCAGGAGCAGGGATGGGGCCCAGCAGCCGGGTTCTGTGTCCTCCTGATCTGTGGCCCTCCCGCTGCAGTCTGTCCTGAGGAGGGGAAGGCTCAGACCCCAAGGGACAGGGGCAGGAGAAGAGACTGTGGTTGTTTTACCCTTACCCCAAATTTCATCTCTCACTGGGCCGCGCAGGTCACGCAGCTGGTCCTGGGCATGGCACAGAATACATTGTTGGTGGGGCAGGCTCCTAAGAGATTAGGATTGGGTTCAAATCCCATCTTTTTTTTTTGTTTTCAGACAGAGCCTCAAGCTGTCACTCTGGGTAGAGTACTGTGGCATCACAGCTCACAGCAACCTCCAACTCCTGGGCTCAAGCGAGTCTCCTGCCTCTGCCTTCCAAGTAGCTGGGACCATAGGCGTCTGCCACAACGCCTGGCTATTTTTTGGTTGCAGCCGTCATTGTTGTTTGGCGGGCCTGGGCTGGGGATTCGAACCCGCCACCTTAGGTGTATGTGGCTGGTGCCTTAGCCACTTGAGCCACAGGCGCTGAGCCTCAAATCCCATCTTGAGCTCATTGGCTGCAGATGAGGGCAGGACACGCCTGAGCCAGGTCCCTCTAGGTCCTTAGAGCATTTTTGCTGTCTGCCCTAGAATGACCAGAAAGAGCCCACAAAACCAACTAGTGTCCTGTAAGAAGGTGGGTTGCCCAGCCTGACGTGGGTGGGCTTCTCCTGTTCCCAGGCCCTCAGACAGCCCGTGTACCGTGTCTACAATTGTACACATGCCAGGAAGATGGCCGTGTCAGCTGCTGTGCTGCCCAGGCTGGCCCCTAGCTGTGGGTGTGGGTGCCACCAGCCGGATGGCCCTTGTGCAGGGGCACCCAGAGTCTCTGAGCAGTTGGCAGCCAAGTTCCCCTCATGACATCCCCTGGGTGATTGCACATGCTCATGTTCTCTCCCCAGATATAAACTCAGGTGCTGTGGGAGCAGGGGTGCCTGTGCCCAGACCCTGCCATGGAAGCCTGGCTGCTGAGTGTCATCCTGGGCATTTTCACAGTGATCCAGGCACAGGTGGAGGCGGCCATGGTGGAACTAGATAGGCATAAGGTGGCCTTTCTTTCTTAGCTTGAAGGCAAATGCTGGGGGTAGAGGGGGGGAAAGGAGGGGCCCAGAGAATGTGCAGCTTCTGTGGGTCCAGCTGTCCCCAGCTCTGCATCCCCAGCAGGTTCAGAACAGCCAGCCTGGCCTGGAAACCCAAGAGGCCAGGCCACTGAGGTCTTGGCCATGGGCTCTGGGCTAGGCCTGCTTGGTCTGTCCACTACCTGGGATTTGAGGGCCCCCAGGGCCTTCTTCAGGCAGGCCTGTGCCCAGCCGGGCTGTACGATACTCTGGGTTGTTTCAAGCTGGGGGCTTCCCCTGTGCCTCTGGCTCTGCACACACCCAGACCCCTGGTGTGGAGGGCTTGGTGGAATCTAGTGCCCATTTGGTGCTTTCTGTGGGCATTTCCTTCCTTCCTGCGTTGGTGTGGGCTGCCAGACCAGGCACAGCTGAGCAGGCCAGAGACAACCCATGTTGGACACGAGAATTTCTTTTTTTGTGAAAATAATCAGTTTTACAAAGATTTCAGATGAAGATCTGGGTTGGGGAAGATTGCTGAGTGCAAGACGTGCCTCTCCCTGCCAAGGTTTGGACAGCCCCGGAGCCACTTGCTCCCCGGTGCATGCTGTTTGGCCCCAGCCAGCGCTGCCCTGTCAGTGTCCTGCACCCAAGGACAGGCAGGGCCTCTTGGCCACCCCCTGCATGGCCGTTAAGAAATGGCAGAGGCCTGTTCCCCAGCACCTACACAGTGGGGAGGGGTTAGCCTGTGGACATGATGTCCGATCACCTGGCAGACCCTTCAGAAGGATGGCCGTGAGGGCAAGCAGCTTCCGAGATATCATGCTGTTGTAACACTGAGGCTTACCGCCTCCCAGAGTCCACCAGCTCTCTTCCTGGGGTCTGAAAAATGCTCCAGGGCAGGAGTTTTGGTCCTGCCATTTAGAGCTGGGGGTGGCTCTGGCTCTTCTCTCCAGCTTATAGGATTCTGGCGGGAGGTTGGTGTGGCCTCTGACCAAAACCTGGCGCTGAAGTCCCCGAAAAGGGTGGAGGGCTTGTTTCTTACTGTGAGCGGGAGTTATCTGACCGTGAAGATTGCATATAACAAGTAAGGCTTGAGGGCCCTGTGGGGAGGAAAAGGCAGGTGTGGGATCTTGGTTGCCGGCCTCACCTGGGTGGGTCAGCCCTTCCTGCATGGGACCTTGACCCCAGAGAAGGTCAGAACCCCAGGCTCTGGGGTCTACATTTTCTCACAATCTTAAATCATAAGAAAGGAAAATAAGCATGGGGCTGGTGGCCTAACGTGCAGCCCTCACCCTGCACTCTCCCTGCCCAGCCCTGCTCCAGACCCCCTGGGAGAGAGGCTGGTACAGCCCCCACACTGCACTCTCCCTGCCCAGCCCTGCTTCAGACTCTGGGATGCTCCAGGAGGCTGCCGGAGCGCTCCCTGAAGACACACCCCACTCTGGGAATGTGCCCAGCACAGAACTAAGACTGGCATTTTCCTGATGAGCACTTTGCTGCCTTTCAGCTCAGGAAGCTGTGAGACAGAAAAAATAGTGGGCTCAGAAATAAACGTTTCAGGGAAATTTGCTTTTCCTGGTAAGTGCTATTGCCCTGTTGGTACAGTTACAACTTCCAGCCACTCACAAGGCCTTGCTGTTCCCTGTGCTGTTCACCTTGCTGTTCCCTACTCTGTTCCCCTCACTATTCCCCATGCTCTTCCCCTTGCTGTTCCCACTCTATTCCCTGCACTGTTCCCCATACTGTTCCCCTGCTGTTCTCTGCGCTGTTCCCTGTACATCTCATGCCCAGGCCTTCCCATTATCCTTTCAACGTGCTGGGTCATCCTTCAAGGGATGTTCTAGTGTCCCCAGCAGGGCACCAGGGGAGGGGCCGGGCACTGGGTGGAGACAGGATTGAGTCAGACCTGCAGACACTGGCCCCCGAGGCCCATCCTCTGTGGGATGCCTGGGTCTGCAGAAGTTCTCCCTGCCCACCCCACGCTGGCTCCTGAAGGCCACAGAGAGATCCAAGTGCTTGACACGGACTATGAGGGTTACGCCATCCTGAAGGTGTCCCTGCTCTGGCAGGGCAGGGAATTCTACGTGGTCAAGTATTTCAGTAAGCTCTGCTGGTAGGGGCAGGGTCTGCCTTGCTGCTGTCCTCCCTGAGCACTGCCCACCTAGATCCTGTGCCCCATAGCTCGGAGCCTGGAGGAGGATTACCACCTGGGATTCTGGAAGTTTCGAGAGATGACAGCAGACACTGGCCTCTACCTGGCTGCCCGGCATGGTGAGACCAGGGCCCTTTGGGGTGGATGCCAGCCTGGGAACTCTGTGGGTCAGGTCTTGCCAGCCCCTCACTCCATCCTGTCCTGCAGGGAGGTGTGCTGAGCTCCTGAAGCAGGTAAGCCCCTTGGCTGGACTAAAGCCCCTGGACCCTTGGTCCTGATGGGAGCCCCTGGTTGGCTCCTTAGCTGTTTGTCCCTTCCTCTGAGTGGGACACCCCACGGCACTGAGGGGCAACTCCAGAGATGGCCATCCTGTTTGGTGCTTTGGAAAGATCAGGAGCCTTTAGGGTGGTGGCCCAGTTGGGGACCCTGAGAGGCTGGGGATGTAGAGGGGAGACCTGGGCAGAGGAGGAGGTGGCCCCTTGTACCCAACTTTCTGTCCACATGAGCCACACCGGGCTGCGTCCCCGGGCCCCGTGTGTGGCATTGCACTGGCCCATCACCTTCACGATTTCTTTTGCCTCGACACCATCTAGAGGCTGGGACAGTCACCCCATTTCACAGACAGAGAAACTGAGGCTCAGGGAGCTGAGCGCTCTGCTCTAAGTCAGGCAGCTGGACATTAGTCCTGTATAGTGGCCCTCACCAGTGCCCCATGGGACCTCTGGGGAACGTGCAGGCCCTGAGCCCTGCCCTGTCTGTCACAGGAGCTGATTTAGAGGGGCTCCTGTCCCAGGCCCGATGCCAAAGCCCCTGCCTGCCTGGCCTCGCAGGGCCCCTGCACCTGCTCTGAGTAAACTGTGTTGCCAAACCTGCTGCCTGCATGTCGTTCTTGGGAGGACGGGTGAGGGCCAGGTGGCTGGGAGGTAGTGGGGGTTCACAAAAGTGAGCCTTGGGGGATGTGGGCACCAATCCAAGTGCCTGGTGACTTGCTGGCGCACCCTCCCTGGTCACAGAAGAGAGGGTGCTTGCGTTGTCTGGGCATCCCTGTGTCCACCCGGGTGCTGGAGCCTGGTCAAACACCCTGGTCGAGCCCAACGAGGGGCTCTGAGGAGAGGCAGGTGGGTGAATTTCCCTGAGCTCCAGCTGGGTCAAGCTTCTCAGCACTGGGCTCAGATGTCCCCACCAGGCCGGGGTACCTGTGCCTTTTCCATGTGTCTCCCTGGGCACCCCAAGGTCAGGTGGGGCATGTCATGGGTGAACTTTCCTGTGGGGGTCTGGTGCGGATGTCTGTGGGATGGGGTGGGTTTGGGGGACAGTGTCTGGCCTCAGCATGAGGGCTGTGACTATAGTGTGGTGTGCCCATCACCCCAGGCCCGGTGTCCCAGTTGGCTGTGTTGGTGGGAACCTGTTGACAACACACTGCCTGCAGGTCTTTCGTGGGGGCCTGAGGGGTGACAGGTGGGGCTCGTTTCTGGGTGTTCCAGAAAGTACTGGGATTTTTGTGACTACTCTGCAAAGGTGGGGCTGTCACAGAGGACACCCTGGCCTCCCCGCCACGGTCCTGCCAGCCCTGCCTTGTGCAGAAGGATTCCATGGCCGGGGCAATGCTGAATCTGGACCCTCCAGTCCCAGAACATAGGTGGCATCTGGGCCTGGCTGGGGGAATAACGGCCTAGGCCTGTGCTGAGTGGTCAGTTGCAGGGGGTGGTGCTCACACAATAGAGGGTGGACAGTGGGCAGCAACAGCTCACCCAAGGAGGCACTGCTTTGCAGCGGAGGACAGCAATGCAGACGTCAAGCAGTGCTGGGGGATGTGGGTTGGCCCAGACCCATGGAGGGACCTTGATGACCCTCAGACATTGGCCAGGAAAAAGGAGCACACGCCAGGCTCACCATGAATCCCAACCTGAGGCCTGAGAGAGCCATAGGAGACACTTGTCCAGGTTGCGTTTTGACAGGTTGTAGGGCTTGGGGACACCTGTGATTTCCAACAGACCTGCCTGGCCAAAGCCTGTGGCCATTGAAGGGCTCAGCCTGTAACTAAATTTCCCAGAATGTGTTGCCTTAGCCTGCTCAGGCTGATTCAGTGAAACACACAGACCAGGAAAGTTATTTTCCCACCTTTCTGGAGGGTACAAGCCCAGGATTAAGGTACTGGAAAGTTCAGTTTCTGAATCCTCTTGCTGGCATGTGGATGACAGCCCCCTTGCTGTGTCCTCACGTTGCTGAGACTGTGTTTCCCTCGTGACTCTTCTCTTCTCACAGGGAATCAGGGCCAGGCTGTTCGGACCTCACTTCACCTTAGTTACCTCCTAAGGGTTCTGTCTCCAAACACTGGGAGTTAGGGCTTCAATGTGTGAATTTTGGGAGGACATGATTCTGTCTGTAACAAAAGTCAACACCACTCTGAGAGTGATCACGGGATACAGGGCCTTTATAATGTGTCATCAACAATGTCCTCCACAAAGTTACATGAGGACCAAAGAAGCAGAAAAATGACCTGTGGTTAAAAAACATGGTATTTAAGGTCTGGTTCTCTTTTGTTTCAAAGGAACCTACACTTCTTTCCTGAATTTTTTTCTCTTTTAGAGACAAGGTCTCACGGTGTCACCCAGGCTGGAGTGATCACAGCTCACTGTAGTCGTGAACTCTGGGACTCAAGCAGTCCTAGCAACCCTCTTGCCTTGGCCTCCCAAAATGTTAGGACTACAGGTGTGTAGGCCAGGCTACCTTTTTTTTTACTATTTTTTGTAGAGATGGTGTCTTGCCTTGTTGCTCAGGTTGGTCTTGAACTCCTTGGTTCCTCCCACCTCAGCCTCTCAGAGTACTGGTATTACAGACATCAGCCTCTGTGCCCCGTCTCTCCTGCATTTTAAAATGTCCACGGCCCAGGGTGGTGCCTGTGGCTCAAAAGGGTAGGGCGCTGGTCCCATATGCCGGAGGTGGTGGGTTTAAACCCAGGCCCGGCCAAAAAAAAATGTCCACAGCCTGTACCAAGTGGTGCCCCGTCCCTGTCCTCACTCTTCTCTCCCAGAAGTCATACCTTTCCGGAGCACCCAACTGTAGCCCCATATGCTCCTGTGGCCTTTCCCTGTGGCCAGTTTCCTTCCCTGTCAGGACCCTTCTCCAGCAGCTGCTCATCTGCAGCACCTTCCCTTTCCTTCGGTCTCCCTGCCTCACTGCCTTTCTATGATGCAAGTTCTTTTATTTTTTTGCAGTTTTTGGCCAGGGCTGGGTTTGAAACTGCCACCTCAAGCATATAGGGCCGGTGCCCTACTCCTTTGAGCCACAGGCTCTGCCCTCTTTGATGCAAGTTTT